TTGATTTATAAACTCTCTTTTTTCCCTTTTTTTCTCTTGGTTTTTAAGTCTAAAAAAAATTTATTTATTTTTTTTTTTTTTTTTTTTTTTTTTTTTTTTTTTGGTATGATAGTCCCCTCTATTGGGTGTATTCACCAACAAATATATTTTTAAGTATGTATTACAAATATATGCATCAACCTTTTAATTTATCTTTTACTTTTCCTTAGGGTGGTTTTTAGTAAAATAGCATTCCTAATTTTTATTGAATTTATTAGTCCTTTAAAGTATATCACCTATGTCTTGTTTAATAAGTCTTTCCCTAAGTTGAGGTTGTAAAGATAATTTCCTTATGATTCAGAATTTAAAACTTTGCCTTTCCTAATTTTGCCATTAGTTTATCAAGAATTGAGTTTTGAATATGGTGTTAGTTTGAAATATTTCATGAATAAAGCCCTAGTATTTGGATATTTAAAAAAAGTACTGTGCAATTAAAAACAAACAACAACAAAAAAGTGACATACCAAAATAACTCTTACTTCTATTTGTGATTCCTGGTTTTGTCTTTCTCTGTTAAGAATTAGACTTTTTAAAAAAAAATTAGACTTTTTTATTTCTAAAGAGGACTTTAAAATTTTTAGCTCCCTAGGCTATTATTTGACCTCATATTTTTCTTGGCAGTTTTAACCAACTTTAAAAGAGTGTTATGCTCTATAAGAAAATTTTGAGATGATTTTTTTTCTTGCTTAAACTAGAGTTTAAGACTATCATGAATTTCTGGCATGCTATTAAATGTGACTTTCTCAGCAGAAGCTAAATTTAATATTTAAGAGTTAATTGAATGAGACTGTATGTTGTAGTGTATTCAAATGTACGATCATCTCGTCCTCCACATCCTCAAGAATGCTCTGTTCCCAGGGGCCCTGCCAAAGCAAGAACCATGGCTTATTTTGGAGAAGGAAACGGACCCATCCATGTGGACAATGTGAAGTGCACAGGAAACGAGAGGTCCCTGGCTGACTGTATCAAGCAAGATATTGGAAGACATAACTGCCGCCACAGTGAAGATGCAGGAGTCATTTGTGATTATTTTAGCAAGAAGGCAACTGGTAACAGTAATAAAGGTAAGTCATTTTCTGGGTCCAATACAAGTCAGAGTACTTTTCACTTCATTAGTATAAACAGTATTTTGATAACAAAAATCTGCTTCCATAAGACTATACCTACTCTGTGTTCGTATTTAGAGGCAGTGGTTCCTGACAAAGTTGACTGATGGGGCTTACATGGGGAGCAGAGTTCAGGGGTGGGAGTGAATTTATAGGATTTGACATCATGCCCTTTTGACATTCTCAGCCACTTCTGTCCCATTCTTTCTCTGGATGTAATAAAACAGTCAAACTTGTTGGTATCCTTGAAGATTCAGAATTGACATAGAAAGAAATGAATTTTTCTATTATTATTATTTTCTTAGAGGAGGGAGAGAGGGGAGGGGAGAAGAGGCAGAGGGAGAGAGAGAATTTCAAGCAGGCTCCATGCTCAGTGTGGAGACCAGTGTGGGACTTGATCCTAGCCACCCTGAGATTACAACATGAACCATTCAAGGGTTAAGTCAGAGACTTAACTGACTGTGCCACCCAGGCGCTCCCAAAAAAGGAAAAATTTTTTTTTTTTAAAGATTTTATTTATTTATTTGACAGACAGAGATCACAAGTAGGCAGAGAGGCAGGCAGAGAGAGAGAGGAAGGGAAGCAGGCTCCTCGCTGAGCAGAGAGCCCGATGCGGGGCTCGATCCCAGGACCCTGGGATCATGACCTGAGCCGAAGGCAGCGGCTTTAACCCACTGAGCCACCCAGGCGCCCCCCAAAAAAGGAAAATTTAAAGATGAATCACAGAAAGGAACTTCTTCTACTCTAACTGATATTTTAAACAACCAGGATAAATTTAAAAGTAATTGCAAAAAGAATATTATCTTTTGTAGAGTTTAGTTTCTGAAATTTAGAAACATTAAGGAAAATGAGAAATAATCTTCTAGTATAGTACAGTAATAGATGTTTTGTACTTAAATACAAAGGTCCTTTAAAGATGAGAGTAACTTTTATGAAACAACAACTGGTTTAAATGAATAAAAAAGTAGCTATTTTGTAGAAAACTATGGTCACATTTTATGAAAAGAAAAATCACCTCTTTATGTATGTTGAAAGTTCATAGTTTTGATGCATTGGACTTTCTGAAAATTAGATGCCTATATTTGAGCATTCTCATTTTCTAACATCTTTTAATTGCTAAAGACAAGGCAAAATTAACCTGGATACTGTAAATATGATGCTTCACTGTCTGAGGAGCTTCTCAGCTTACCAAATCACATATATTTAATATTACCAAATAGTATACATATAAAAATATTAATTATAACATAATGTGTTAAATTCCTTTCAATAATTTAAACTACAGTTAAAAATGGAATATAACTAATTCTTTGGATTATATCAAATTTCTGAAGCAGTAGAAAAACATAAAAACTTAAGAATTGTAAATGTTTCTACCATATTCCTATATAAACCTACTTTAAAGTATGAAATACCATATGTATTTCATTACTTATACATTTGTTTTTGTAAATTCCTAGAGTTGTAGCAACACTTATTTTGATACCTTTTCATGGTTCAATACCACCATACATCAAATAACAAGTTTCATTTTAGACCAGCTGGATTATAGAATCTGGCTTATTAACCTATTGATTTTGTATTGAGGTTCAAGACCTAGTGACTTCTTCTTGTTTTTCTTTTTCTTTTTTTTTTTTTTTTAAGACTTTATTAATGTATTGTAGAGAGAGAGCACAAGTAGGGGGGAAGGAGAGGGTCAAGCAGACTTGGCACTAGTGCAGAGCCCAGTGTGGGGGCTCTATCTCATGACTGTGGTCATGACCTGAGCCAAAATCAAGAGACCCCCACTTAATAAACTGAGCCACCTAGGCACCTTCCTAGTGACTTCCATAAGGGAATTCACACTCAGGCCATTGGTTATTGGTCATCTGATGGGATCCTTTTATAAATGAACTTCATTTTGCTTTCTAATTTTTTTTGTTTTTGTTTTTGTTTTTTTTTGGTAACTGTGGATTTTATGGCTTTAAATAGATTTTACGTTTTTGTAATCCGGTGCCTTGCCCCAGGATGATGTAAACTTTCAGTTTTGCTTGCTCAGTATTAATTACATCATTCTTTTATTTTGGTGTTCTATGCATTGACTTGACTTGGACCATTATTTGAAACTTATGTTTTTCTCATCTCTTATAATTTGCTGTGTCATCTAGAGGACTCATATCCTAAAGAGATGAGAATTAAAGATTGACAGCATGCCTCTGAGATCATTTGGCCAATTAATGATTTTGGTACATGTTATTGAACCTCTTTCTCTCTGAAGAAATAACTAGTGCTGATTCCCTACTGAGCTCTCTTTTACCTGATTATTTTGGGAGAATATTAGTGTTGATTAGATTTTTTTTTTTTAGAGATTTTATTTATTTATTTGACAGACAGAGATCACAAGTAGGCAGAGAGGCAGGCAGAGAGAGAGGAAAGGAAGCAGCCTCCCTGCAGGCAGAGAGCCCGATGCGGGGCTGGATCCCAGGACCCTGGGATCATGACCTGAGCCGAAGGCAGAGGTTTTAACCCACTGAGCCACCCAGGTGCCCCATGTTGATTAGATTTTCATGGTCATGGTGCAATTCTCAGCCTTTTCGTCTTACACAGATAGAAAAACTATCTATTGATATTTTAAAACATATACTTAACCAAGGAAATAAAATACTATAGAGATTCTCCTCCTTCCTAAAATTATTTTTGAAATAGTCATACTTTATTTAGTTTCTTTTGTATACCACTTTTTCATACATTTTAATTCTTAACTCTTTTTTATGCTCTTGATCGAGTCTGTTATCTTGGGAAGTTCGACTATATTCCCTCAAATGCCACTTAGACTGTTTAGTAAAACTTTCCATAAGTTAATTTGCTATATGATTAAATATAAATGTGAATTTAGATCAGAATCCCATTCTGCGAATGTGCTTTGCTCCTTTAAGTTACATTTTTGTAGACATGGCTTGGCAGTGTTGTGTATGAAGAGCAAGTAGTTTAGACCAGTATTGCCTTTGCAGTTCTCTTGCTTTACCCTTCCTACACTCCCAAATGATTTCTGAAATCAGCAGAGGAAGAGATGTAGGCATCTGTAGGATGATGTACTGGGCAGAGTCCACACTGAATATGGGAAACTTCCTCAAGTTCCTGATCTGCTTGGGAATTCTTGGTTAAGTGAGAAGAAATTTTTTAAGTGAGAAGAATTTTTATTATAAGAAACAGTATCCTATAATTTGAGGAGAGAAGACATTTTAAAATAGAGAAGGAGGGGCGCCTGGTTGGCTCAGTGGGTTAGGGCCTCTGCCTTCGGCTCAGGTCATGATCCCAGGGTCCTGGGATCAAGCCCCACATCGGGCTATCTGCTCAGCGGGGAGCCTGCTTCCTCCTAACTCTGTGCCTGCCTCTCTGCCTACTTGTGATCTCTGTCTGTCAAATAAATAAATAAAATTAAAAAAAAAATAGAGAAGGAAGCAGCAGGTAATGTGTCACTTGTGTCTTTATCCCACTATCAGCAATATGATAATCTGATTAATAACTTCTGTGTGCTTCAGAATCCCTCTCGTCTGTGTGTGGCTTGAGATTACTGCACCATCGGCAGAAGCGGATCATTGGTGGGAAAAATTCTTTAAGGTAAAATGTTCTTTTCCATATTACAGAATTATCTATATATAATTATCTCTACACAGTGTTACAAATTGGGGTTTTTTTAGTGTTATGTAAGGGATTTATTTTATTTATTTAATATTGGGTAAATTAAATACAGATTACACTAATAATTTCACATTTTTTGACCTACATTTACTTTATATAGGTTATGTTGTTAGATCGCTACCCTCTGATTTATAAAATAGATACATTGCTGAAAAGTTATGTGTAGAAACTAATTTAACAGGAGGTCTGAAAAAAACACATAACTACAAAATTCATTTAATTTAGAATATATTTGTTTTAGACTTGACTCTTTTAATATAATTTTCTTTATTTGTTGCATTTACTCATGGAAAACCAGTACTTCACTTATTAAATACTTCTTTAGGCTGCCTAGGTGAGGTAGTGGGGAGAGAAAATACACTTCAACCAATGAAGTATAAAGAAGACTCAACTTGATTCTATGACTGTCAGAGATAGGTGGGATGCATACAAATACCCACAAGCAAATCTTCAGTGTGGACTGCTCAGAGTTCTAGGGGCACGATTTTTCAAAGTAGGAAGGGATTTTTATATCCGAGGGTCCCTTTTGTACTGCTTTTCTCCAACCTGCAAGCTTTCTGAGTCATTGTTTTAATGGGTGATTTTCTCTGCCTTTTCTACCTTATGTGGAGTTAAGTGACTTACCTTCTTCTTAGGGGTGGTTGGCCTTGGCAAGTATCCCTCCGGCTAAAGTCATCCCATGGAGATGGCAGGCTTCTTTGTGGGGCCACACTCCTGAGTAGCTGCTGGGTCCTTACAGCGGCGCACTGCTTCAAGAGGTATGTGTCTACCTTTCCAGATGACTCAGTTGGGCTCTTATTTGCCTTTCTTCTGATTCCTTCTTTCTCTATTGCATACTGGAAACTTGGGGTGACAGAGCCAGGCTACTAGTCTTCCTTATCTATGCCAACAGCACTGTGGAATTGGGGGAAATAACAGAAGGAGCAAAGAGATCCTTCCAAAAGCTACTGGGGTACTAAAGCAAGCTATAGGGAGCAAAGACGATGTGTTTTCGGGGGGGGGGAGGTGGCTATGTCAGTGCTTTTCTCAAGAACATATCTGAGGGTGACATCATAACCCAGCAGACCTAGAAGAGACCTCAGATTATCTAGTTACAAGACACTAAGAATAGGGAGTGCAAATTTTATTGTTTTTGATCTTTTGGGTCTTCTTTGTGTTTTGTGCCTTTTAGATTTCTTCATTTGTACCTTCTAGAAAGGTTGCATCCTGATTATTTTCTCATGTCCTATTTTATCAGTCTAATCTCAAGTCTTTCCAGTTCAGAGGGGAGGCCACACAGAGAAAATTAGTGTGCCAGAATCATGCTGCTCTTGGTAGCAATGCCTGCAGTAGTACCTGGCTCTCCTTTCTTCTTGTCCTGTGCTTTTTGGTTGGCCTGGCTCATGGCCATTTCCTCAGCATGAATTTTGTTATGTCTAAATGCATACCAATCTTTGGTAAAATATTGATAATTAATGAGGCAAGGTGATGCGTATAGGAGTCTCACTATATTATGTATTTGGAAATGGTTATAATAAAAAGTCTTACATAAAATGTGTAACATATCATTGAGAAATTCTTACAAGCAAAAATTTGTTTTATATTTTTCCATATGTGATTTCATAAGGCTTCACTGTATATTTGTAATTTATCCATATAGATTTTGTTCACTTTAACCACCATGTGAATCTTAACTCCTATTGGAAGACTACATCACAGCTTATTTATTCCCATACTAATGGGTAGTTAGGTGGTTTCCATTCTCTTACTATGAAAAAACTGTGTGGTAGTAGATATCCATTCTATGTCTCATTGGGTACATATATGTGGGAGCATTTTGCTAGAGTATGGGTACATTTCAATTTCACTTGGCACTACTAATTTCCTTTCTAAAGTAATTGTATCCATTTATATCTTGGCAATGTGTAAGTCCCTCTGTACTCAGATCCCCAACTCAACTTTATACTATCAACAGTCTTACTTTTTGCCACTATTAAAATTTTGGATTTCTTTTTAATTCCATTTCCTTGATTAGTGTCTTTCTCTTTCATGACTTCTTTGTTTATATCCTTTACTTATTTTTTTGTTGGATTTTTTTTGTAATTGATTTAAAAAATTTGTTCTGTGTACATAGTCTTTGTTGTTATATATTACAAATACCTTTTCTCAATCAGGGGTATGTCCTGTCACTTCTGTAAAATCTTTTTCTTATAAAGATATTTTAATTTTAACATGTTTAGGTGTGTCAGTTTTTTAAGTTTGATAAAAGTTTTTATATTTTATTCAAAAAATCCTTTCCTAGCCCTACTTGATGAGGATATTATCTTAGTTTTTCTTTAAGAAAATTTATGTTTGCCTGTCATGTTTAGGTTTTTAATCTGTTTACAGTTTATTTTTGTATATATGGTATGGGAAAGGAACCTAACTATACTTTCATGGATAGTTTACCATCACTTTTTATTGAACATTATATTCTTTATGCAATGATTTATCACCACTATGTTGTATGCCAAATGCAGAGTCTGAGGTGGGGCTCAATCCCATGACCCTGATCATGATCTGAACTGAAACAGAGTTAGACACTTAACCATTTAACTGACTGAGCCCCAGGTTCCCCAGGGGACCATTTTTAAAGTGTGGTCTTTCTATCACAATATTAGATACATTCAGCTTGTTAAAAATCCAGATTCCTGGGCCTCTACTCCAGATCTACTGACTCTTTGGAGCTGGGCCTCAGGAATTGGCATTTTTATCAAGCATCTCTGATGATTCTTATGAACACTAATGGTTAAGACCCACTTGCCTGGTGACCAAAATAGAATATGATCTGGATTTTTGAATAATGATGATGAGGAAGAATATATTGGAGTTGACAGGATACTTATCCATGTCCTATTCAACATTTTAATCACTAAACTGAAAAAGATACCAAACATATTAATCACTAAACTGACAAAGACACCAAAAAGATGGTAAATTAATTATATTTTTGGATGTCAGAAGATTGAGATGGACACACGTTGGAGATAAGATCCATGATAGCAAAAGATCTTGATATGCTGATTCTTTTTTTTTTTTTTTAAAGATTTTATTTATTTATTTGGCAGACAGAGATCACAAGTAGACAGAGAGGCAGGCAGAGAGAGAGAGAGGAGGAAGCAGGCTCCCTGGTAAGCAGAGAGCCCGATGTGGGGCTCGATCCCAGGACCCTGGGATCATGACCTGAGCCGAAGGCAGAGGCTTTAACCCACTGAGCCACCCAGGCGCCCCTGATATGCTGATTCTAACAAGCATTGTGGAATAGGGAGGAAGTAAAATGCTCACTTTAGTTCCAGGAAACTTGGTTTACATGTTGCACAAGTGAAGAAGACCTCATGAGTTTTAGAGTCCTGCAAACTTCATATAAGTCAGTGATGTAATGAAGTTGCCCAGAGTTAATAAGTAGTGGGCAGCACTGACAGAACAGGGGCAGTAGTAGTGGGCAGCACTGACAGAACAGCATTGATGAGTCTTGCTATTCTTGTTGTACTCAAGCTATTGGCAGACACAAAAGCACTGTCACTATCAAACAGAGAGAACGGTGTTCAGTTCTAGGTGCCACATCATGAAAAAAAAATGATGTGGTATACCAGGGAAGGCAAAAAGACAGGGGAATTTGTGTGAAATTGGATTAGATTTGTTACCTGTTGATTCAGGTACCACAGATGTTAATGGGAGAAAAGATAATTTTCTTTCTTTTTTTTTTTTTTTTTAAAGATTTTATTTATTTATTTGACAGACAGAGACCACAAGTAGGCAGAGAGGCAGGCGGAGAGAGAGGAGAGAGGAGGAAGCAGGCTCCCTGCTGAGCAGAGAGCCCGATGCGGGACTCGATCCCAGGACCCTGGGATCATGACCTGAGCCGAAGGCAGAGGCTTTAATCCACTGAGCCACCCAGGCGCCCCGATAATTTTCTTTTTAACATGAAGAGTTGTTTATTTTTTATTTAAGACTAGGACCAAAGATGGAATGGGCCGTATGTGGGAGGAAGAGTAAGTTCTTTTATGAAGTGTGTTGAAGCACAGAGGTTGGATTCATGTATTGGTAGAGGCTGAAGGTGGATAATGTCTCATGTTGAGAACAGGGTGGTGAAAAAACCTGGGACATATTTGAACAGTGGTGGTTATTAGTTAAGATAGTGATCTGGAGCTTTGGTAGTGGACTTACAGTAGAGAATAGGAAAGGCCTGGAATGCCAGGATAGTGAATTTTGTTTCATTCATGAGGTGGTAGAAAACCACTATTTTTTTGAGGCTCGAAATGAGATCAGAGAGTTTTAAGAGATGAGTCATTTGGAGATATACAGGATAAATCTGAGGAGTTAAAGCAGAATTACTAATCCAGGGGTCTGTGAATGAGCTTCAAATTATATGAAAAATCTCTGCATACACGCTTCTGGAGTGACTCGAATTGGTCTATATTACCAAGTGATTAAGACTCACTGTGGCTGGAACTAGGTGGAGACTGATTACAAGGCTATTATAATAGAAACAGAAAGTAGAAAAGGAGGGAGAGAAAGTAGACCCACTGTGACAGAAATCAGTAGAACTTGGTACTGTGTAACAAAAGACTTGGATTTGGCCATTGAGACCAAGTCACAGTTCTCCAATTTTAGCTTTAATTTGTGGAAATTTTTTAGCCTGTTGGAGCCTCAGTTTTCCCACCTGTAAAATGAAGGCAATAATGAAGGAACAAATGATCTGCTAAGCATCTGAAAAATTAAAAACTGTAAAACTCAAAACAAATAATGCCTATTAGTATGTTGAGTTTCAAGAAAGGGAATCAAAGATTATTATTATCAAAAGTAGGAAATTCAGGATGATTTTAACACACTGACTACTGGAATAAAAGAAGGCAGGAAATTATAGAGAACCTGGAGAAACCTGTCTTAGGGCTTAGAGTTTGGGCAAAATAATTACAGAGGTTCAGTTTACATTATCCTCCTCTTGATTAAGATACCTTGTCTTTCAGGTCTCTGTTAAAAGTTATGGACTTCAGGGTTTAAGGCTTGAAGTTTTAAAGTAGGGAAATTACCCAAAAATTGTACTTGAGGTTGAAAACTTTTATCTGACTTTTGGGTTCTCTGGATGGTCTTTTTCTTTTCTTTCTGGTACATGTTTGGGTTTGTTTGTTTACATGTCATTATTCCTCCCCTGGCATGCTCCTTCTAGATTCTTGCTTAAAGTCAGTAATCATCTCACTTCTGTTTATAAACTGAGTGTCTAGTGTATTACTTGGCATAGAGGAGATACTCCTAAATGGTTGTTGCATGATGAAAGTGGGGGCTCAGTTGCCAGATAGTGGATCTATTTAAGAATGTTGGATGCTTTAGAGGATTGTGGTATCTTAAACCTAGATCAACAGATAATTCCTTCCATATGTCATTTCTGAATTTCTTCCCTTTATCTGCTCAGTATAAGATAAAGACAGTTAATTAAAAAGCAGAGGAGCAGATGATGATACACAGCATTTTGAGGTGCTGTAGATATAATGCAAGACTCTCTTACTATGTGTAGGGAGAGAATTGTTTTGCAAATGTGTTTTATATCCATCTGACTTGGTCTGTAACCTTTACCAGATTTCATAGACTTCCTGTTTTGCAGTGCCTAAGGAGGCTACAGCTTACATCTTTATTGCAGTGAATATATTCAAAAACTAAGGACACTTACTAGTGATTGCGAATAAGCTCCCAATTTTTGTTTTTTTCTGGGTTCAAGGACTTTGGATTAAAACAGCCCTCC